TAACGGAATTGCACTACGAGAGCAGTTTCACGTGTCGGCTCTCGCGACCGATATCCATAACATAGGTATGTGTGTGTGTTTTTGGTTAGATCGTGCACGAAAGTTTTGAATATTCCCTGGTAACAGAATTCACTCGAGGTAACAGAATTACAAGAACACTGCAACCCTCTCCTGTACAACACCAACCCCTGCTGTGTCGGATACCTTTGACGCGGTATTGCGAGCTCAAATGACGCCGATGTCACATGTTGTGATCGCTGTATCGGGTTCTCTGTCCCATGCTGCGAATCCGTTCCTCCGGATCAAAGAACGCAAGCAGTGTGAGCACCCAATCACTCTCCACTCACCAACAATGTGCCCTCGAAAGAGCGTTTGTCCCGTGTCAATTAAACGGATAACGTTGTTTTGTTATCGTCAGAGCTAGATTAAGCCACGTTGTTTAACGTAGAGCTGGGTTAAGCCACATTATTTAATGAACCGCACCAACCGGCCCTGACCAATTATTGGCACACCACCACCATGGCCGGCATGGGGGGGAGGCCTTCATCCAGCAGTTGATTGACAAAGGTCGATACATATATTTTAATGCAACACACAGCTGTATATGTTCATATCATTAATTTTATTTTATTCGTTTCTAATTGCGCTTGTTCATCTATGAAAAACCTCACTGAGTCTTTTTTTCAGGAGGGTCCTGCCAGGTTTCCATCGTAGGAAGGGCAATGATGCTAAACTACTACGAAACATTTTATTGGTGTTTTATTTATTAAGACAAATGCACTCACCAGGGTAATAACCAGGCCGGCCGCTGGATTCGAACCATGAACCTTGCGCTGTAATCTTGTGGGGTTACAGAGTGAGTCTGGTCTCAGTCCTGGCCCAATCCTACCCCCGTCCTCTCCCCAGTCTCGTGGCGATTCACCGCCCACGTGGGTTGTGGGCTCCGTGTGTGTGCGTGCGTCTGGTGCCCGCCTTCCGCCTGCCTTGCACGCGAGGAGGGGGTGGATGACGTGCCAAGCGGCTGGCACTGCACGCTCCATGTCAGCAGCAGGACGGAGGCACGGGGCCCTGCCACTGGGCAGCAGCGGAAGAGAGAAGTGGGAAGGGAGGCCCAGCGGTGGTCGCTCAAGTTCAATTCCTGGCCACGGCTAACATCAGTGGCGAGTGCTATCTTAGCCAATCCTGTGCCCTTTTCAATGAATATCTGGTAGTGTGGTGGGTAAGCATCGGTACCGGGGAGGCAAAGGCAGTCTGGCATGGTACTAAACACAACTACCCAAACATGCACCGTGCCGTGTCATGTTTACTAAGCCTGACTTGCTGATGAGACCCATAATGTTGAAACCGGTCGAGCGTTTCTGTGTCTTCTTACATTAATCTTGAAGGGCATTAGGGGGGAAAACTGATATATATATTGAAAATGTCGAGATACATCGCAGGGATAATGTATCATTAGTTTGCCCATCACGCGTAATTATGTTTTGCTCGATAATCAAGGCTTGGCATGAGGAGCGGTCCCTGGTCACGTGGCTTCTTTCATTCTCAGCCGGTGCCATGGCAGCTTTCGCTCAATCCACCACCCTCCGAGGAGACGCTGCGGCAGGCCTGGTAACTGCGAAACGCAGCAATGCGAGGCTTTGTATTTCAATTGCTCTGTCGTTAATATCGTTTGTTAGTGCTCCGTGATCTATCGTGTGCGTTTGAAGTTGCAGTGCCACGCACGTGTTTGTCTGTGTGGAGCTCGAGGACTTGGGCGTGGATGTGAATGTGGAGGACGGCGCCCTCCACCGCCAGAGCTGTGGTACTGCAGCGATGCACTCCAGGTGGCACGCGACCCAACGCCGATTCCGTGTGGCCAGTGAAGAGCGACTCGATTGTAAGTGATTTAACCATTCGAAGGGTTTATCCGATAATTGATTAATTGTAGGAACACCCAACAACTGGCCCACCCACTCGCCCACCCACTCGCCCACCCACTGGCCCACACACTCGCCCACCCACTCGCCCACCAACTCGCCCCCACACTCGCCCCCCCACTCATCCAACTACTCACCCACCCACTTCCCCACTCGGATATAGGGAAACAATGTCAAATGTTAAATACTGTTTGTGACATACTAATTCGTTTTCAGGTCATCATCTGGGTTAATGGTCCACATTTTCCAAATTGCAAACAATATCCACAAATGACTCCATTGGGATTATGCCGTTTATTCATCACCGCTTACTACTGCACAGAACTTGGCAGGGACCCTTCTGAAAAAGCATCGTGTGGCTCGCAGTGATGCTTTCCTTGGCAAACTAGCAGAGCGAGTTATAGTTATATTCTTGTAAATGGCAATTTGTTCTGGAGCTTTATTCCAATGTCGAGGTCCGCTAGCCACGACGAGAGGATTGCAGGAGAGAGTTCGTGCTGTGGTCTAACCGTTCCTCCTCCACCTCAAGGAGCGTGTGCAGACTGCAGTGATTTACAGCACCGTGCGTAGTGTTCGTCATAATAACGTTGTTCTACGGCACTCTCTCTTTCTTAAAGAGCAGCAGCAGCAGCGCGCCGCCTCCCCGCACGCGGCTCGGACGCCGGGGCGCGTCGCGTGCCAAAGATCGACAATAACCGCACGGAGACGCTCATGGGACCTCGTGTCTGGAAGAGTGAAATCGCTGACCCTGAACATTGTTCCCCGAGCTACATTGCTCTCATAAAAAATTGAAGCTTTAATTTGTACCCGAGTTGGGAGCAGCAACCCAGTGTTGAGAGAGAGACAGAAAAGGAATTCAAGGTTGGTCTGACCCCAAAAAACATCCGTGAAAGCGACGGGGGCTGAGTGGAGGTAAACGATCGGGTTCGAATAATACGAAGAAAAAATGTCGTAAACGGAAAACGCACAAGCGGATAAATGTAAAGTATTGTGCACGTGTTGCCTGCGAGACCACTTGCCATCTAATTGTGTCGGTATCTGCCAAGAGTGCACGCGTCTGGCCCCCTCTTCTGTTCCGTCTCTGGTGCGTCACAGATTATTGCATCCGTGATGGCGAGTGGGAATTGGAATGTGAAATGTGCAAAAACAGAAGCCCTAATTGGCACCCGGGGAGTGAGAGTTGACGTCCCTGTCATCTTCATCGCCCCCCCCCCCCCCCCCCCCCGCTTTCCCCCCATTGCTCTGGGTGCCATCGTGGGAGCAACGGTCCTCACCTGACGCCTTCGTATGGGGACGGCTGCCGGGGAACGTCTTTGAAACGCGTTCCTCTGGAATCCACCGCGAGTGGCAGCAGAAGCTCCTCTCTTTCCCCCTTAAGTCGAAAGCGCGCCGAATTTTGCACCAAAAAAACTAAAATTGGTTTAAAAAGGCCATTGCGATTTTTCCTCTACGATACTGCCAGTCCTCTGCTCATTTCCGCTTTATCTTAAAATATCAGTCTATCAGCATTTATAGCATTTGTAATATGTAATTGCCCAGGGGAGGCTGATTTCTCGGCTAAAGGGTGTTAGGCCAATCGTGTTTCCTTTTAAATGATCCCAAGTTGCAACTAAATCTTGCTGCTTTTAAAGCACATCAATCGATGGCCAGAGTTGTACAATTCTGAAGTTAGCGGGTTTTTTATACAATGACGTCATGGCCGTTAGAATGAAGGGTGGGGGGGGAACTTATTGCAAATTTCAAATTTTAGAGCAATTTTATTTCAGCGTCATTAAATATTCATCACTGTAACCGGCCATCTTCATCACCACAAGGGTCCCCGCGACTTGTCGGTGATTTCCGAGTGCTGCCCTGACACCCCCCCACCACCACCCCCCAGTGGCCCTCGTTGCATATCCGCAGAGAACGGTGGCGGCGGTGTGCCACGGACCGCCCACGGTGTCTAAACGGCCAAGTGTTTCGTTGGCCATAGGATCCATGTATCTTCTCCACCCCCTGCCCACACACCAAGTTTGAAGGCGATCCAAAGAAATAATCTCGGAACCAGCTGGCCCACCCGACGCAACTGCACAAGCCTCGTGGCCACCCACCTCTCCCCTCTAATTCTCTTCTGTCAATCATAAAATGGCAACTGATGATGAGGCTGGATTAAATTATTCCGCTCCTTCCTTGCTCTGCTTCCCAACGATCAGTTCCCTATAGACTTACATTTCTCTCTTCCAAGTCCTCCTCTACGCCATCTGTTCACGGTGGCAAGATGTTTACTACCTCGCCTGGTGTACAGGAGGGTCGTGGGTTCGATCCCCCCCTAATTCCTGTATATTTGTAGCTTGCATGTCATTTTCTCTCCCCGTGGTGGGGTGGATTTTTCTCCGGGTCCTCTTGTTTTTCCGCATTTTGAAACGTCACGCATTTAAGAGTATTTGGCTGCTCTACATTTCCACACAAGCCACTTCGTTGAGCTCTCATTTGTGATAACAAGAGGTCGCTTCTAAAAAAGAGCTGTGTAGTTCAGTAGACCTTACCTGGTAAAATGTAATAAAACGTGTTAGTGCTTCCCGCTCACAACACAATGGCCAAGCAAGGCCACCGATGGTCACTTGGTGGCCTGCGTTTGAGAACTACAAATGGGAATGTGGAATTTACACTTCTGGCTTCCAGGGCCGCTAAAACGCAGTAGAGGAGCATGTTTGAGCTGGGTAATAAGAATGTCGGTGTTAAAACCCGCTATGCATATATTTTATATACACACAGGATGGAATGCAGGCACATCAGGCGCGGATGTCTTCTCATCCATCCATCACGTTTCAGCAATAAGGTGAGCAGTGGGGAGTCTTGCTGTGCGGGATTATTCACTCGTTATTTATAGCTTAATCATTTAAGCGACGCACGTTTAATTGAGCCGTTTATACTACAAATGAAAAACATGTTTCATTATTTTCTCGTGCATCGGTAACTGTGCGTAGGGTGCAGATAGCTTGGCTATCGCAAACCGTCCCGACATCAACTTATCTCCCTCCCGGCTTAGACATTGCAAATGGTTCGCCCCCTTATCTTGCGATGGTTTGATATTTGCCTTGTATGTAAATGTCATCTCTTTATTAGTCGCAGCGCAAAATCGATAATAAAAAAAGCAAGCACAAAGCAACCCCCCAATTCACAATGCTACAACCTGTTTCAAATGTACAAATGTTTCTTTCATATTTCAAAAAGCCATTAAGCGCCACAGAGAAATTGATTTTGTTCAGATGGACATTATCGGAGCCCTCTATTCACGCTAAGAAAGCCCGCATGCAGTCTGCCAACCAAAAACAAAGATGTAAATGTTTCTATAACGCCCTTTAACCCAGTACACCGTTTGGGCGAGTATGCCCCTGTTGTACTTGATCAGGCGTTTTAATTAAAATGTACTATTAACATATATCAAGATGCACGCAAGGATGGGGTTAGGATTTTTTTTCCCCCTTTAATATTTAAGTCAAGTCGACGCAAAAGGTGGGCAACGGAAAAGATCGACAGCCCCATGTGGCGCGTGCCGGGCGCACTCCGCACACGACTCGGATGGCCACGTGGGGGGTTGTCTCTGTGCACACGCTCGCTTGGCAACTCGGATAGCCATGCAGGGGAGGTCGCGGTGTACACACTGGCTCCATACGCACGATCAGCAACTCGGGTGGCCACGTAAAGGCTTGCTGCTCCACTCGTTCCGCCCAACTCGCTCGAATCGGCACGGCTACAACTGATAAGCAGATACAACAACGCCCAACTCGGCGTCGCTAGCCTTCTTGCAGGGGTGCGCACGTTGGATCAAGTAAAAATGAATGGCTCCGCTTTTTCGGAGTCGTACCCAACGTTTAGCTCCCCGTGGCTGCAGCGTCTCCAGGAACCGAAGCCCCCAGCTTGAACCGGCGGGGAGCTTCAGTCCTTGCATCTTAATTCACATTTTTTTTAAGTTTGCTCATTTTTTTTTTTAAGGCCCAATACTGTGTCATCTCATTTCCCTCTACTCCACACATCTCTTTTGCCCTCCAAAAAATAATCCCTCTTCTTCAAACTCTTAAAATGCAAATCCACCACCCCCCACCATGTGCACATCATTAACTTGAGATACGGGTGCATATTGCCTACTTTATTATGAATCCGTGTAGTGTGTGTGTGCGTGTGCGCGTGTCCGTCCTAATGTTCTGAATGTCCGACAGACGAAGGCTTCAGCGGCTGAGCTGCTGCTCCACCGCGGAACACCGTCTCCCCTGGCAGCCAGTGCCGCACGTTCACGTGAGACGCACGTTCACGTGAGACGCACGTTCACGTGAGACGCACGTTCACGTGAGACGCACGTTCACGTGAGACGCACGCCCTGCAGGTTTTGCCTCAGGTTCAGCACGACCTTCTCCTGCCGGGCCTTCTCTTCCTTGAAAGCCATTCTGTTGGCCTTCTTCTCCAGACGCCGGTCCTGCGCACACAAACACGCGCGTCATTCGTGGTCACGCACGCAGCCATGCGTCCATAGTTTTTAAGAGGCTGGCTTCGTTATTTTCTTTGCCTTTATGTAAACATCACAGATTCAGTTGAAATTGGTAGAGCTATTCGATTGTATTGAGAGGTCGTGAATTGCAGATACTCTCCACGAGGACATTACGTAGCTGGGCCAATCCGGTTAAGCGGCGCCCACTATATCCACATAAGATCGACGCCGGGTGGTGGCGTTAGGGAGTCGCTGATCACGGTGTGTGCTGGGCGCTGCGCGTGCGAGGGAACAAAACGCCACCAGGACTGGCCGCAGGGCGGGGGACTGGGCGTGCTCACCTTGCGCTCCTCCTTGATGGCAGTGCTTGCGCGCGCGCCGCTGCTCCGGGGTCTCCTCCGGCGCCCGGGGAACGGCGGCGGCGCGGGGGAGGTCGGCGGCCGTCACGGTGCCCATGCGCTCCACCTGGCGCGCCGTGGGGCCGCGTTGGGGCAGCACGCCCAGCGGGAGGCCCGTCTTGCGCGATACGCGCATGGGCTGGGTGGGGGGGGCGGCACACGCCTTGGTCATCCACAGCAGCTTCGAGGTAAACGCGTCCGTGTGGGGCGCGGTAGCATAGCGGTTAGCGTGCTGTGCTAGGAACCCAGAAACCCGGGTTCGTTTCTTATCTGAACCTGTCCTGGGCATCCGCTAGGTCGACTCGGCTCAAATGAGTACCTGATGCGTGCGGTGTGTAGACATTCACTGGGGAGACAAAGGTGGCCAGGCGGGGTGCCGTGACAGCCTTCATAGGTGCTCGCTAACAGCACTTGCCTCAGTCTGTTAAGGCTATACAGGGGATCTTTGTCTTTATTTGTATGCGTACATGCAGTGGAGCGACGCTCGCAACAATGAGCAGAGTGCCTTAAAGATGCAACGCAGCAGGGAGGCCAGGTGGTGCATCTGCCAGCCATCTCAGCCAGTCCCACCCATAGCCCCCCTGCCAGCAGCGAGCCTTCCACTATTCACGTGGCCTCAAAGTGCATGCACTTAGCGTGGCACAAAGCAGTGGTGATGTGACCATCACTTAGTGGAAAGAGTGGCTTTTGTTGTACATGCGTACAGTGGCTTTGAAAGGCAACTTGAATTGAAGTGGGTTAAGGTCATTCAGAGGGTTCATGATGGCCAACAGAGAGCACCTGAACCTACAAGGATGAGATCCTTGGATTCACAACTTTGCTTCACCTGCCCAAAATTAAACCGGCAGCAGACAGGTCACAAGTGCCTGCACAAATAACACGAGTGAAAACATTTGTATTCTTGGGTCTTTCGGTAAAGTCACGTAGATAGGTTGAAAGAAAATAACTAAAAAACAAGGATGACGATTGCTTGTGTTGCGATCGAAACGTCGTAGTTTTTGTTATTTTATTTGAGCCTATCTACGTGACTTTACCGAAAGACCCAAGAATATGAATTCCTGCAGTCACGAAAGCTCTAAGTCAAGATTTATAACATTTGGTTTTCGTTTAATTTGATAATTCCACTGTGTAACATTATTATTTTTTCCTGGGTAGTAACTGTTATTTCCTAATTGCTTATGCATCAAAAGTACACTGATTAAACGTGACACTGATTAAACAAATTATTCGCTGCTGCTGCTGCGTTGGCAGTGGTGCACAATTAACTAAACTCACATTCGTCAATAACATGTAGTGGGCATAAAATTAATATGTAGGCAACATTTTGAGCAATGATATTGTAATGTCAGGAGACATTACAATATCAGTAGAATGCACACAAACTCATACACAACTTATTGACGAAACACATTCACATGACTGCATATTTGTTTTAAACACTGAAGGAAATTAACTCACTTTTGATGGCTCTTCAATCAGCTTTGGGTGGTTGTAGAGGTTGGAATACGTGCCTGAAAGAGAGTACAACGAGTTACCCAGATATCAATGCCTCGCCAGGCACTTAAAATAGAGTTTCAATCAAAGGGTTTATTATTAATTTACACCCTGGTGATTATTCACGAAGTGCTTGACTCGGGACTGGTTTCACACCAGGCAAGGACGCAGCAATTAATACCTATTCTCACACACGTAGAACCATGTGCATAGAGGAAACAAAGTTGTAATTTACGCTAATTACAAACAAAGTACAAACAAGAGACTCGTATGAGAAACAAAACGGTAAACTGGGGACGAAAATATTCTGATAATATCGTGACCCGGATCTGTGGCAGGTCATCGCACAGTGGGGAAATGATTGTTAAAGGGTCCCCCCCCCCCGCCCCCCCAACTGTGACTGTTAAGGCTGCCAAGTGTTCGTGCGGAGACCTCACTGATAATCGATTCGCAGTCCCACTTCTCTGCCGGCTTCTCCGTCGCCACCTCCACCATGTCGTCGTCGTCGTCCTCCTCGTCGCTCTCCTCCTGGCCCTGCTCCTTGTTCCTCGGCCCACGCTTGTGATGCCCCTCCTGGTTCGCGTCCGGCCTCTGGTGCCTTTTTGAGAAAATGGTTTTCGAAATTTTTTAACCGAAGTAAAGTAACACATGCTTGGCACGCAGTTGCAGGCACACTGCGAGGCACGTTTTGCAAATCAGCATGAAGGAGTCAAAACGCGTAGGAAATTCGCTCAATTCCTGGCGATGGGAGACTAAACCTTTTGTAGAGTATTTTAAAACGCAAACATTCGCATACATCCCGCTCCATGGACACTATTCTTAGTTTAATTATAAACATGGCTTCCAACTTAAGTACTCTTCAAACACCTTAATTTTACCTTTCGTCAGTAACTTTCAATGTATATTTACAAAGAAGAAAATAATTTGTTTACTCGAAGACCAAAGCCGATTCAGTGCTTTTGGTATTTGAGGCATTCTACAGCGCAAGGTTAACACCAAGGGGTGGTGTTTCAATCTGCAGTAGTTTCACAGCACAGTGTTGCTTTGCGTGATCCCAATTGAGTACATTTGCAGGTATTTTTCAAATTGGGCAAAGTGTGACTACAACGCCAGTACACAATGGCCGACTCCTGCGAACGGATGACCGTGCGTGAATTTTAACATCCACTATTTGTAACTTTGACACTCCTGCAGTATTAACCCCCAAGCACTCCAACAAACTCCCCGCCACTCGGCCGAGTAAGATCCCCCCCTCCAACCCCCAGTTACTGGAAGACGCGACCCAAAACAACAGGCTTCTCGCTCACTTGGCCCGCTCGCTCACTCACTCTGCCTGCTCGCGGGCGTGGAAGTCGTCCAGCGCGGCCTGCAGGCGAGTGCTGCCCGCGGGGATGCTGCCCTCCACCTCGCAGTGGTCGAGTGCTCCGATCTCGTCCTCCTCGTACGCCGCAAAGAACTGAGGACGACAATGTGTAGATTGGTCGCGTCGCGATCAGCAGCACCGCTGGTGCGAAATGATAGCTTGGGACCGTTTTAAAGTCAGCCTTGCTTTGGCTGTACAAGGCGGTACTTGGCCATGTAACGATTCATATCTTGAAATTTCAAAATGAAATGTCGCGATTCTGGGCGACGATCCGTTCTTTCCTTTTTTACCATCTCGTTTGTATTTACCATCTCGTTTGTGTTATTAATTCCACGTTAACCGTGGGCACGACTCGATCTCTGTGGCAACGCCGAGGTGTACTGCGGTGCAAGTCACACCTTCTCAAAGCGGTCGTCCAGCAGCGTGAGCTGGTCGTTCCTGCGCATCACCGACGAGGTGAGGGAGTAGTCGGTGAACCTGGTCTTTGTCTCCTCGTCCATGAAGAGGCACTCCTTCCCGCGGCTGCCGTCGTCCGTGCCGGGCCCGTCCGAGTCGTAACTCATGTCGTCCGAGTCGTCCACGTCCTCCCACTCCCCCGCGCCTTCATCGCCCGCTCTGCACAGTGACAGCGCCATTGATCAGTCGTCACCCGTTGGCACCTCGTGTAAGCCCCTTGGGGCATTTATAAACAATTTTAATGAAACACATTTCAAAATAAAAAAGGGCTCTTCATTAAGGCTGTCTTATGCAATACGCTAACGTTTCAGGCTATGGTCAAGTCTAACAGGTGAAAGTGATTTTCTGCTGAAATGAACTTTGAGGCAGTGCTTGTCTCCTGTGTACAGCCCTGAGCCAGGTGGTGTAAATTCCACATTCATATGACAGGGGAGAGTCTATCTATAGTACTGCTGCTGACTTCAGCGCAGTGGTGCCAAGTGGTACAGAATGACGCATAGTGGAAGAGCATCTCCACTCACCCCTTTGCGTCGCCTCCTTCAGCGTTCGCCTGCATCACAAAATCGTCATCGAGTTCCGCATCTGGGTCGTCAAAGTTGAAGTCATCGTCGAGAGCCGCGACGACGTCGGGGTCCCAGTCCGGACGGGGTCCTGCAAAGTGCAACCACCACGCACACCCACATTGCAACGGGTGGACGGGAGGCAACCTCTACTCAGTAAAGTCACGTAGGTAAAAAATAAAATAAATGAAAACAACTAAATTAAATCACGACGTGGGAAAGCATGACCTACTGCTGATGCAGACTATCGGCAGTAGGCCAATGCTTTCCCACCTGATGACGGACGCTTGTGTTGCGCCCGAAACGTCGTGATTTAATTTAGTTATTTTCATTTATTTTATTTTATACCTACGTGACTTTACTGAAAAAACCAGAGTATGAATCCTTGCAGTCACGATAGCTTCAAATCGGGAGGGAACCTACTTGACGCAGCAATTAATCCATTAAAATCTATTGTTTAGCTTGTGATGCACGTGTCGTACGTTAAGACTCGATGTTTTTTTTTTCCTTTTGTGCATGTTTTGTAGAATAAATGAGTGTTTGCGATACCTGCAGCAGCTGAAGGTAAAATATAATTGAATGATTGGAATTGCAACCCTGAATCTCGGAAATTCCTCGATTCGTATGGAACATGTAGACCTCAGCACTTTTCCACCAAAAACAAGGAAAAAGCAACATTCGCCAAACGTAACCTTAATTATCAAGAGCACCGACAGATGTGGACAACCACAAATGCCGGCTCGAGCCAGGAGCACGGCCACGGGGAAGAGGGGACGTTACCGGGAACGGGAGCAGCGCGATTCAGCAAGCCGGTCTTCTCCTCAAACTCCGACGCAAACACGGAGGAGGGCAGCTGCACCTTCGCAGCCTGGAATGCAGCACAGCAGAGCGACTCAACACTCAAACATTCATTTCAACTCCAAGACCCCAAACACAATTACGTGTGACCAAAATGTTGTATGCATGTAACAAATCATTTCTTTAGAACAGTTTTTTGTATTTAGTTTGTTGTCCTTTCCCCGCACCTCCGATTTGCACAGTTGGCTACGTACGGTGCGAAATAAGTTCAACATACACACACCACCAACACCCAAACTGTGCTCCAATTAACTGTTACGGTACAGTCTAATTTCCACCAATGGCCTAAATATAACCATAACGTTTCAAAGTCGCACAATTTGGAGGTATGTATCATGAATATACGAACCAACTTTAAAACGATGAATCGTAGCAGTGCCCAATATACTTTACGCACCACAAAATGCCAAGGACCGCAGAGCGAGCGGCCCTGGATGTTGGCATCTTACCGGGATGTGCACAATCTCGATGGCTGCATCCTGCGCTCGTTTCGGCGGCGCCGACACCAACTCTGCGGGCCGCGACGCCTCCTGCAGGTGCTGCAGGTAGTTGTAGTCATCGTCGAAGAAGACGCCAAAGTCGCGCTGTTGTTCTTTTCTCTTTTCAAGGTCGCTGTTCTGCGCACGCGCATTAAGAAAAGGCGATGACAATAACGTGATGTTTCGATGGATACAAATGGGAAAAATAAATGTGTACATGTCCTTACAAAAAAAGTTACCGAATTCATTACTTAAGAATGAAAGAGAGAAAATTAAGATTGACTTTGCTGAATTCAGTGAAAATAAAATGCTCTGCGATGCTGTTTTGTGCAGTCATCAGTGACGAAGCTGAAACCATCAACTCACACTTGAGAACAACGCTTAATAACCGGTGGCTGAGACCTAAATTGGAACCCTGGGTCTCAGTGGTGCTGGCTTGGTGCTATCCACGCAGATGTATATCCGCAGACCATTTTTTTGTCCTATCACTTTCACTGGGTTTAGGTTGCGAAATATGGACGCCAATTATTTAGATTTCTTTGAATTTAAGGGGTTAGGGTATATGGTTAATAGATTAAGGTTAAGAGTTAGGTTTTTAAGTTCTGGTTTAGTGACTGCAGTTATAGTCGTAGCCAATTTACATTTGAATTTCTGCGAATCCTCAATGGAAACTCAGTGAGACTCAGCCCTGTGTTGTGTGCCATACCCCGATCACTTCCAAGTAGAAACAACAAATCTCTCGAACTTAATATGGACTAAGGGTAGAGGAGTGGCGTACACCGTGCTGTCAACGATGCGTTTTGATTCCTGGCCAACAGCGAACATCAGTGGCGACTGATAGATATCCTTCTGCTAACGCATACGTCACTCTTGCAGACCAGGTCACTCGGGAATGAGACTAGTCCTGCAGTGAGTGACGACGGACTGGGACTAAAAATCGGCCCCAGGCATTTGTAAACACAAATCGCCCCCAAATTGCCGTGCCATCTCATTGGCTGGTGAGGAAGAATCTTTGGGGGCTGCCGAATGTGCGACTCGATTCCAACTGAGAGCGTAAATAATCAATCAAGTCTACATACATTGGAGATAATTAAAATGTTTTAATAAAAAAATACTTGTATTGTTTTTACTCTGATCACATTTGCAATTTCCCCACACAGACCGGACATGCTGGCCTGCTCTTTGAAGTTCTCACGCGGTTTAACTTCACAAAGTAGAACCAGGGTGTACGGGGAGGGAGGGAGGTGGAGGGAGTTACTGCACCTTGATCGCAGGTAGCAGCACGCGCTGGGGGGCTGTCTCGTCCGTCAGCAGCGGGTCGTGCTGACTGCGGTGGACCAGGTGGAACTTGACCGCGCTGTGCTTGTCGATGAACGGCTTGGTTTTCCTGTGAGGCTGCGCGCACATGGCACCAGAGAGAGAGAGCCACTGTTTACATGCATCAGAGGTTTTTAATTAGGCGGTTAAATGTCACAAGGATGGTCCGTTACATCACCAACACCAGTATAAGAATAGGTGTTACTCTTTCTGGCAATAAAACAGGGCCTGTAAACCAGTTTTAGACAAGAGAACGCCAACAACACCGTTTATATCATCCATTGCATTACGTATCGCTATTTACATAATTTGACCATGACAGGGATATCATCAAAGCGGCATCCACATAACATCACGATCACGGGAAAATCCATCACCCGAACCCTCCAATGATCACCACGATCATCACCCTCATCATCACATCACAACCACCCCATCATCCTAAAATTCCACCATAACAATCACCTTCCCATCATCACCATCACACCATTCAACATCACCTTCCCAACATCACCATCACCTTCCCAACATCACCATCACCTTCCCATCACCACACCATTCAACATCACCATCATCACCACCACCCTCATCATTACAACCACCGACCCATCATCACCGCCTCGTGAACGTGACACGAGGCCGGTCGGTTGCCAACTCGCTTCTAAGGAAGTCAACTCTACGAGGCGGCCTACAGGAACCAGCTCTGACAGAAAGCCACCGATGTCGGCCTTGAGCGGGAATCGAACTCGGGGTCACGGCTCCGTAGCTCGGCACGTAGCCACTCGGGCACCGTTGCCCGACTCACAAAGACATCAAAACCACGACCATCGCTCACCATGTCGGCGCCACGTGCTCCTCCGGCCTACGCGTATGAAGCCGGCCTCTTCCCGCGTCGCGTCCCCGCACCGCGTCTACTTGCGACCGACGAACGTATCACTACGTGCGCGCCGCTGATTCTGGCCCCGTTCACGACGCCGACGAAGCAAACTCGTGGAGGCGACTTTAGTCGAAATTGACGCCGAGACGAAGCGAGGACGGCCCAGAGACGCGGTGGGTTACACGGCGAGCGTGGAGCCGCGGGCAGCTCTCGTCTTGAAACTCACAAACGCCCCTCGAGGCAGATCACATGCCAACGCTGAAGCCGACCCGCCACGGTCCGCATCTGCCCTCGAGGCAGCAAGAAATATGCAAAGGAAAGGGGTGATGGCGTGGGTACGGGAAGCGATGGGGAGGCCGAACGCGAACTGCGATTTACGAAACGCGCGCGGCGACGTCACGCACGTGCTAGGTAGAGGCGCAGGCCGTGCAACGTCCCTCGTCGCGCGAACCGCCGGCAGAAGGTCTCCCGCAGCTGGAGGGCGCCCGGGGCTCGAGAGCAAGCGGCCTCGCAGCCGGGGGGCGGGGGGGCCTGGCGGGAACGTGGCAACGTCCCAAGGAGGCGGGGGAGGGGGGTTACGTGAGGCGATTTGTAAAGGGGCCGTCCATAAATGACGTCACGCGATTTTGGACGATTTTTGACCCCCCCCCCACCCTCGTCACACGACGTCACAAAAAGTCAGACCCCCCCCCCTCAAATATGACGTCACAAAGCTCTGCCCCACCCCCCCAAAACATTTCCATTTAGTAAATAAAACATGCTTCAAATCTCGATTTAAAGCTTTCGTTACTGCAGGGAATCATCTTCTTGGTTCTTTCGGTAAAGTCACGTAGAAGGGAAATACTATTATAATTATATTGTTTTATTTTATTATTTCCTTTCTACGTGACTTTACCGAAAGAACCAAGAAGATGCTTCAAATCGCTTTAAACTATTGGCATTGTAGTGCGTATTTAATGTGGCGCTGCACTCTGATGTTGTAGGAGTGTCGTTATAACAATTAGTGTTAGAACAATTCTATATTTATTTAAAGTTGCGGATTTTGATGTGACCCCCCCCCCCCCCTCTCGTCACACATCGTCACAAATGTCTGACCCCCCCCCCAGGTGCGTGACGTCATTTATGGACGGCCCCAAACGTATGAAATTGTCACGCGTGAGAGTCGTTGGTGAATAATCATGTTGTGTGTGAATCTGCCAATATAAAATAACCGCGATAAAATAAAAATCAATATGATGAAGCTGTAACGATATATAAAAAAAACCTCTCTGAACTCTATGATCGTAAACAATGCGGGTTTCCAAGAGAAATCAGCGAGCGCTGACTAATTACGCGGCGCATGGAGAGCGTCTATTTAATTCGTTTTTATTATTCGTAATAAAGGTTTTTGGGTTAGATCGCGTAAGTATAAATAAATGTGTCGTAACCCTCTCAACCACCCGACCCGCCAATTTTATGTACTACTACTGCAGCCCACCGGTTTGTTAGAGAGTCAATCCACAACATTTACAATTTTTGACAATGGCCCGCTGATGCTGGGTCTAGATGTTGTGGATTTACTCTCCAACACACCGGTGGGCTGAAGTAGTAGTAGTACACTAATTGGCGCGTTGTTTACGTGGCAAACCTCACTGGCTGGGTCGGGTGGTGGAGGGTTACGACACATTTATTTATACTTACGCGATCTAACCCAAAAACCTTTATTATTATGAATATTGGTCGCGAAATCCTTCGTGTTAAACTCGTTCTTATTCGCTTGCAGTAACTTAGCTAGTTAGGATATACCTAACAAAATGGACAATTGGTTAAAATATTGATGGTCATTATTCATACATTTATTTCTCACAACCATGTTGGGTCAGGAAACTGGGAGAGGGGGGGGGGTACTCATTTGAAACAACATTCAACAATAGTAGTAGCCAAACAAATGTTGAGAACCACTGCTCGAGGATATTGTGCTGTGCTATTCCACGCCGACCAAACGTCTTGCAAGACAACCCATAAAGACACGCAGAGTGACAAGACACACCCCAATAACATGCACGCACAGTGCACGCAGAATCAGATGCCAGCAGACAAGCTTGTTTTAGCAAAAGTGAACAAAATTACAGCACTCGGTTCATTCGTCAAGGTGTTTTTATTATTCGCTTCAAATGTCAAGACATTGCCGACACATTAGTCAACACTTACACCGATAACTATTCAGCAAGCGACATTCATTGTCCAATTGATTAAGTGCTCAGTCACTGGAATGAATCACTGATTCTCATTAACCGGCCAAGTATGAGTGTTCATTTAAACCCTGACACAAGGCTTGCATCATTGCTTGACTTTTGTGACGTTAGGAGTGAAAAGGGACTTTGGAGGGATGGAATGCCATGAAACTTTAACAATTCAGAACTTGTTTTTCACTTGTGATGTCCGCTACTGTGTTAGTGTATCTGCTTTCAATACATTTACATTGATTATTTCCAGCTCTGATGATACAATATTTTTAGTTTTTGACTGCACAAGTGGGGATAAAACACAAGTTGTGATATCATATCCCACACAGCATTCTGTTAACGTGGGGGTAATCATTAATTATTGCAATAATTCCTGGTGGAAATGTATTTCTCTTATGCCATTATATTAACAGTTTAATTAGAGAGTACTTGGTAACAAAAAAACGATCTGCAGATAACCACACCTGCACTCACAAAACACAGCAATGGAGTCACTAACAATGTCATGCAGAAACCTCGACGGAAAGTTCCTGAGAATACCAGGTTACCGTAGGCTTTGGCTGCGAGGTGGTCAAGACATATCAATATGGCCACGGATTCTTGAATCTTGAAAAATTAGTCATTGATCTGACAAAGCTGGTATTATGGACACAATATGAATGAATTATGAGTCTATTTGTGTGAAGCTTAACGTGTTACTGCTCCCTCACTTCCGTGGGTTTTCTCCAGGCATTCTTTCCATATGCCAAGCACATTGTAATGGAATTGGCCAAACATCCTGGAGCAGCACTATCCTCCTGAAAATGAATCTTGAGACTTGGCAAGGCTTTCCCTGGTCAGTAAATGGCATCATCATGAACACAGGCTGACCGACGCATTATGGCAGCAAAACCATTGTTTTGTTTAACATACATTCAGAATACAAATGGCAAGATCAGTGGAACAAAATGTGAATGGCAAGTACTTTACACAATATATTAGCTCAGACATTACATGTTTTCATATCGTGTGGTATTTCTACAATATTTGCATTCAAGGCAATACAAGTATCATTGGCAATTAACGATTCCATGAAATTTGTTTTGACTGATATGATAAAGCGTGTTGAACATTTATATAGAGGTATGTAAAATAAAACCCAAATGCAATGGAAAATGCATGCTAGTTAAAATGTAACTTTGCCGCACACATATCCTTCAGAATTAGTTCACCCAGAGAGGCATTCTGTGCTGAACAGATATAAAATCGGCACGAATTCTGTGGAGGCAGTAATACTTTCACACCTCCGGTGACTAAATGCCAAACTTCAGAGGCAGGTTTAGAGTTTACTCAGCACATCACCCTTGAAGGATCAATATATTGAATAACAATAGTCGACCTTGGTAGGACATCACCATTGTTTGTGAGATTGGTCCCTTAGCTAAATTAATTAACTGATCCCTGCCTTAGAAACGTGGAGTTTACACCACTGGATCAGGGCTGCGAAAGAAGATGAGTATCACCACCCTGTGCTGGCTTGGGCCAGGAGATAAGGGCATGGTTTTATGAAACTACTTGTGGTACCTCTGTGCACCATTATGGTTACTTCGCAAGGGATGTCATAAACAATACTGTTCCCGTACAATGCCTGGGCAACAAGAGTTAAAAGCAAAGAGCTAAAACGTGGAAATGGAATGCAAGGACAGTGTCATATTCTACAATCAATGTGCTACTTAAGCATACGTGGAAAACTGAAATGATAAAGTACTTTGGAGTTGTTGGTGAAATGTGCATCTTTGGTCATAAATATGAATACTGTTATTCGGCTCCGATAATGTAATGCAAATTATCAAAAGTGTCTTGATATGCTTACAATTATTTTCGCCGTTTTAGTGTTAAACAAAGTTACTACAAATATAAACATCAACGTTTTAGTGTGCGTAAATATTATGGCAGTTGAAAAATGTTACTTTGTGAACTGAATATGCACACTGCTTCCCGTAGAGGCGATGATCCCACAAAGAGGCAATTTACGGTGTGGCAGATTGTTTTTTAAAGATAAGGCACTCTTTTGCACGACTCGTCCAGCAATTAAAATAAAGACAATACACATTTGTGTGCACGACATGTTTGCGTACCAAAATTCAACGTGAAAGCACCTGCAGAAGCAACTCGGTACGTCAATGCGAGGCTTTTGTGTTTCTCCAACGCTGGTTTCTCAGTGTCGGAGTTGGCGGGCACCGTTCTCTACAGACTTCCTCTGGCCAGTGGCTCTCAGCATGTGCTGCCCAAACTGTGGAGTTTCAACACGACAAACGTGATCAGCAAGGCACTGACAAATGTGAATTAAACAGCTCCCCTTGTTGAATAGCACACTCACTTCCAACTAGGCATGTAATGTCTGCATAAAATCAAATATGTTCACAATACATGCATGTTGATTATTTGCAGTGTATGCAAGTTATATACTAATATGTGATGGCCAAGTGATTATTGCTCTGCGCAAGGAGCCTGAAAACTTTATTTCAATTGCCGGCCGTGGCTAATATGAGAACAGGTCCAGTGAGGTGTGTATGGTCAATATGGTTAGAAAACCCCATGACCGACTCAGCATGGGGAGGCTCTTATCCAGCGGTGGATTGATAAACGACCATAAACAGTAAATATAAAATATGCAAATGTTAATTTAGGCTCACGGAAAGAACAAAAGAGAACAAACGAGATGGTATATATAAAATATTTTTTAAACATGATCTTCACTTTAACCGTGAATATTTGTCGAATCGCTGGGGAGTGGTGAATCATTGCATGCCTACTCGTTGCATGACTGTTAGGGCAAGTGCTGTTCATGAGCACCTATGAAGGCCGGCACAGCACACGAGAGGGTGGGTGGTTTACACCATGCCTGGGTGCCTTTGTCTCCCCAGTGGTGATGTTTACACACCATACCAGGGACTAATTTCAGGCTGAGTCGACCTAGGGGAGGCCCAATACCGGTTCAGATA